ATCTCCCGCTTAAGCTTTTGCTAGACTCCCCTGAGGTAGAACACCCTTACTGCTCTGATGCAGAGTTCATGTCTTATTTGTTTGCTAAATTGTTGGGAATTTCTCTCTGTTCATCTACCTAAGATTCTTCCATTCTCCAATGCCATGTATATGGCTTGTTGGAACTGCTGTTTAATTGCTTTCCTTTGCCCTACGCCAGCCAGAAGAGCCAAGGGAAGGGGCCCGAGAGCCCAAGCCCCCCAGTTCTCATACATTTCAGGCTATTAATTATGCAGTCATGACTTAGCAGGCTTCTATTGGCGGGTTTGAAACAAGCAACTTTTAAAAAGTACAAATTGATAAGCTATTGGGCTGTGAATCTTATCAAACACAAGGTACCTCCTTCCTGAGGAGTGGTCTGCCTACGTGACCTGCCAGGTGTCCTGCTGGGTGTCACGTAGACTATCAGGCCTGAGGTTCACACAGCCCCCAGCCAAGCCATTAAGGCAGAATCACAAAAGGCAGAAAACGCCTAGGTTCTTCATTCCCCCCTCTTTCTAGTAACTAATCAAATCTTTGATTTAGTAACATACTTAGTAATATAAGTAACAATGTACAAGCATCGTTGAAAATATTAACATTCAAGAATCTCTCAGTGCCAAGGGGTTACATGTATACAAGACAGTTTCACCAGGAACCGGAGACCCTAACTGCCTATCATCCCATCTGGCTCCTATATGTCCAAATAGAGGACTGGACCCAGCTGCTTTTAAGGAAAGGGGCCGTAGTTGTCTGATCTTAGCTGCTTCCTGCTGAGAGGGGACGCAGTTGAGTAACAGCAGCAGTGTGGGGGGGTGTCCATCTAACGGTTCCTGAGAGAAGGCAGACGTCATCAGGTGTTGGATGTACAGCCTGGCACTTGAAAGGCTCCTCTTTGTTGAAGTCTAGATGACAAAACATAACATGGTTATAATCCTTCCCAACCTAGTAGGTTGTGTGCTCAGTTAGAAACTTTAGCTTGAATACTTGAGCTCAACATACTCATGAACTCAATGGAACATGCAAAACTCCTTTTGAGCTGCATAAATTGCTGGTCTAGATCAATCAGAAGGCATAGCAACTATGCAAGGATTAGCATATAGCATCAGAATATAAGCCCATTCATTACAGGACAGGTAAATGCAAGCTGACTCCTTGGCAATTATTGCATTTGACATTTGAAAATACTACAGTTTTATATCTAGGTAGGTGATGTCTATTGCAGGAGAGCAGTTTGCCTCCAACCAAACCAGGAATGGATGGCAACATTTTGCTTTATTTTCTTTCAAGCATTCAGGGTGTTCTACCCCAGTAAAGCTTAGTCGTGGTACTGGTTGAGCAGTCATAGGCCAATTAACTTACAGCCCGCTGATAGCCACTGTATTCCAAGCTCTTCTTACTAATAAGGCTTTTTAGATCCATAAGACACTACTTGGAAACATCTATGGATATTAATAACATATCTTTTTGGTATAACTCTGAAGCTATAGGTCCTGCATGGGAAGTCAATACACAGTGACTCTAGTGAATTTAACAAATTAGCACTCTTATGTGTGACGTCAGTAATCACCTGCGGCTCTTGACACACGATGCTTAGGCTGTGGAAGCCTCTTGAATCTGCAACACCCCCAGAATTCCTTAGACAAGGCCATACACGAAGTGGAAGTTCTCTCCTCCATTGAGAGAAGAGCACAACCATCTTTGATGGCGACTTCTTTGCACTGGGGCATGGACCGCTGAGGTCCTTCACAGAGGACACTCTTCGCAGCAGTGTCCTGGCTTTCCACACCTGATATGCTTGCTTTCTTGTTGGCTCTCCTGTCAGACCAGAATGCTTCCTCTAGCAAATGCCTTTTCCTAGTGTTAGTTTCCATTCCCCTACTTGGGGAAAAAGCACCTCTTTTTGATCTGCTATCTAAACTGAGGACCAAGGAGTTCCTCTCACTGATGTGTGTATATCTTCACATCAACCATTCCTGGAGCCTTTCTGGTGGCAGGATTGCAATTAATCCTGGCTCTTCACTTGCAGGGCTTCCAAAAGTCATTTCTGTAACCAAATTTTCTGCACAATTATCTTTACCAATCAAAAGATGCAATCTTTGACGAATGTTGCTCTGAATTTGAGACTCCTAGGGGCCCATCTAGGAATTCCAAAAATCAAAAGAGTCAGGTTGATTCAAGCAGCAACAGATCAGATTTTTTTATCACTTATAAAATTACCACACAAATATTTCTTGAAAAATGCGGCTCTTTTAAACCATGAGAATTTAACAAAGACAATTAAGTTACCTTACTGAGACACAAAATGTGTATTTCTTTGGCCAGTCACCAAAATTGAGATATAACCTTAAACACAGGAATTAGTGCATAAAATCATCACATGACTTCTAAGAATTTAACAAATTCAAAGGTTGGAATAACAGCTTACTGAAAATAGGCTGGATAGACAGTTGACAAAGTTACCAATTTGTTTCCATTAACAGTCCTCAAAACTTGAAACTTCCATTGTCAGATACTCAGGAGCACTTCCATAGATATATACTTCAAAGGCATTTTGCAAACAGATATCAATTCAAATGTCATCATACGTTAGATATTAGTGTTAAATACTTAAACAGTGTTGTAACAATATCTTAAAAATTATAGCCAGATTCATTTCTGAAATTTCATGACTTTTATCTTTTTCTTAACATGCTTGAACCTTTAAGTATTTTGCTTTATCTTTCCCTTTGCATCTTATGATAGCCATAATCCTGTAGAACAAAATATTTTCACAGCAATGTTCTTTCAGTAACTCCTTTATAACCTTCTCACCAAGAACATTCTCAGGCTTGCAACCATCCTTTATCTGCCAATTCTCTGGATCTACATTCTGAAACAAACAAAACTCCAATCCAATACATTTTTTAAATAAAAGCAGGTTAAATTTTTAAACACAATTGCTTCAGGCAATCTTCAATTATCTTTTATATATATAGCCAATCCATGAAAACATTTTAAAATGCAAACCCATTTCGGAACCAGAAGCAGTTACTTCCTCCTAGCTGACTTAGGAACATCCCCCTTCTTAAGAATCGCAATGGCAGGGACAAAGTCAAAGTTCCAAGCTCTTCAAAGGCCAGGCTCCAAGCGTGCCCCTCCCTTTCTCAGGGCCTGGAGCATCTTCTGTTTTATTGAAGTCAAGGGTATGGAAGAACTTCAGTTTGGCTGTTGTCTTAGGAGGCTGCCAAAGAATTTACTGAACTTAGTTAGCAGGTTAGTCATCAATAAGATGAAAATAACTTAAAAGGAAATGTTATGACACTGTTGTTCTCTGACAAGGAATCAAACTTCTATTTTAATTCTGTTCCTTTAAAGGTTAAGTACTTAGCAAATGCACACAATATGAACAATTTTACCACACATCCTTTAAGAATTCGTTGTCTTCCTGTGAGGCAGTCTCAGAAACAATACTTTGTAAATAAGAACACAGATAACTTATAACCTGAATCAATTTCGTGATTAAAAAGATATTTTGACCAAGACATAAACATCAGTATCCATTATCTGTAACCATCTAAATATTAAACATATGCAGCAACCAACTTGGCAGTTTCATAACATTATGCAATTATAATCCAAAATATTTGAAATAACAGTTGAATTATCCAAATGTTGTCTCTGTTTTTGAGAGTTCCATGGATCCTCTGGAATTCCCAAAGTCAGGAGACTTGGTTCAGACTTTTGAGCAATTTAGAGATTCAAATAAGTTGGTTAAATGTACATTTAAATGAGCATGCTAGCAAGTAGGCTGGATTTGATGGCAAAGGCAAGAAAATCTCAGGCCAAATGGAGTCAAGTCAAACCTCTCCCCAGCAGGAGGGTGAAGAGTTCGCTCTTAGCCAGGCCCTCCTAAATATGCATATCAATGCCCAGAAGCTAAACTGAGGCTGACTAGCAACACCAGGAAGTAGAGGGAGCTTTCACAGAGTTCAAGCCCAAGATGAGAGCAGGGCTACAGAACAAAGACACGTAACACACATCCGATCCAGGACAAAGACATCACAGCCCCTCGAACCCGGAACCTAGGTGGAAAGGGCACCTTTCCACCTCTCGGGATTCGGAACCTGGGCAAAACGGGTGGTCCCTCTGACCTGGCATTTGGACACTGGCTTTCCCCCTCGAGCTTAAAACTTATAGCCCCTTCGAATCCGGAACCCAGCTGGGAGGTCGCCTTCACTACAGCCCCTCGAGTCCGGAACTCAGCTAGAAGGTCGCCTTCACCATCAGACTCGGAACCCAGGCAGAAGCCCCATCAAATCTGACGCCCAATTAGAAGGTTGCCCCCAACCCATCAGACTCGGAACCCAGGCAGAAGGCTACCCCCAAGCCCATCAGACTCGGAACCCAGGCAAGCAAGTCCGTCTAGCTCGGAACCGGGGAGAGCACGCAGTCCCTCAGGTCAGGCACCTGGACCCAGGGACGTCGGCCTTGGGGACCCCAGTCGTCACCAAGAGATCCCAACCGACAGAGCGGTAACTGACTGGATGAAGGCATTTCAGGCTACCGTGCATGGAGTTCTGTAAAACCTTGCTAGGGTGCTAAAAAACTACTGGGTTATTGTAGATCACAGCTAGTTTTCTTTTTTTTTTTTTAAATACCTTGCCAACTATAATATGATTGTATAAGTCTTAAAAAAGAAAAAAAAAAAGATGTACTTATTTTTATTGAAAGGTAGATATACAGAGAGGAGGAGAGACAGAAAGGAAGATCTTCCCTCTGATGGTTCACTCCCCAAGTGACCACAATGGCCATTGCTGAGCCAATCTGAAGTCAGGAGCCAGGAGCTTCCTCCAGGTCTCCCACGCGGGTGTAGGGTCCCAAGGCTTTGGGCCATCCTCAACTGTTTTCCCAGGCCACAAGCAGGGAGCTGGATGGGAAGCAGAGCTGCCGGGATTAGAACCAGCGACCATGTGGGATCCCGGTGCGTGCAGGGCGAGGACTTTAACCACTAGGCTATGGCACTAGACCTGATTATATAAGTCTTACAACCAGTGATTTGTTGTTGTGCTTTATATTCCAGGTTAAATATTTTTCTGAGACTTTTAGGGTTCACAGCAATTGGTAAAGTGTAATTGGTTTTAGAGAGTCTAACACTTGCCTATTTCCTGCCTAATGCAAAGATGGCTTTAGCCTTTTCAAAGTTCAACTAAGTTTAGGTGATTATAAGTTAATTCAGAACTGTTAATGCTAGGTAATAATATAGACTCCATGGAAACTTTGAAATTAACTGTCCTATGTGATGAGCTTACAGCTATTGTCAATGTTAATCCTTTCAATGTTCCTGTGCCTTTTAACTGATCTAGGCTAGAATCCTGCATAGCTCAGGGAAGCTTCCTGTGTACTGTCTCCATTGAGTTAATTTTTTATAAATCTTAACCAAAAGTCCCAGGTCTAAAGTTTACTCTGACAAAGGTTTAAATCTAAATTCTGAAGATACGCTAGCTCGGGAGAAATTATAACTGTATTATGTTTTTTTGTTATCTGGACTTCAACAAAGGGAAACATGCAGGCTCCAATCAGGACTTCAGGTACCTGATAACTTCTACCTTCTATTGGGGACTTCAGATTGACCCCCTAGAGAATGCCCGGCTGCTGTTGGTCCTTCAACAGCCCTTTTCAACACGAAGCAGCCAGAGCAGTCATTGTCCCCTGTCCCTAACTAGGGTCCATTCTTCTGGAGGGGGAATGTGAGGAGTCAGATGGGATAAGAGGCAGTTAGGGTCTCGGGTCCCTGGTCACTCTTCACAGTGTGCGGCCTCCTTGGTGGCCATATATGGTTCAGAGAGACCATTTGCGTGTTTAGAATCTATAGCCTTTGCTGATGTTAGTGATGTTTCCATTTTTGGTATCTCACCACTTGTGGCTTAACATTTCTTTTAAAATCTTTGTGACAAGAATTCAAAGCCAGCACCACGGATTCCAGTCCAGCCAAATGACAAGTGGAAGGACCCCTGAAAGCAAGCACGTGACAAGATTCTCTTCTTGCATTCTACACCAGACTCAACACTTCCCTGGGGATGGAAGAGGGAGGGTCACAGTGAATTGTCTCAGAGCTTTGACTACCCAGGGCTGGCCTGCCTTGGAGCCACCCACTTCCAGGTGATTGGTCCCACATGGGCTGCCAGGAGCCTACTTCCTCTAGCAGGCCCCACCCCCAAGCAGATTCCTTTCAGCAGTCCACCCCTAAATACCCCTGTGGGTGTGGCTTCTGGCACCCAGGAATAGGCTCTGCTTTGGGAGCTGGGCCATTTCTTCCTAGGCTCTGAGCTGAGACTTTGGGCAGGCTGTCCCAGCAGGTTCCACACATGGCTTTCAAGGAAAGACTCAGGTGAGCAGGGACACGACTGTGGGGTGGGAAGCGGGACAACTGGCTTGAGTGTCCCAGGTTGCCAGTAAAAGGAGCCAAGGGGAGGTATATGCCACAGGGTACTAACTGAGCCCATGCCCTGGGCAAAGTAATTCAGAAACACCACTTGTGAATGCTGGGTGGGTGGGAGGCTGCATCCGGGGGCTTCTGGCTTGTGAATGGTTAGGTATACCCCCAACTTTGCTCCCCTCGACTCTGAACTGTTGGTAAGCTGGAGAGCCAAGGCCAGGAGATCCCTACAAGGCAAGTTCACCATCCCCCCAGGAATCAGTCAGTGCTCCCTGGGAGAGAATTGCTGACCTGTGGCCATTTATTGAAAGCAGCAAAAATGGGGAACAGGGCAGGGACGGGACTGATGAGACTGCTTTCTGGCTCCTTTTGTAAATGCAAGACCAAGGATAGGAAGTAAGGCTTGGGGAGGGCCCCCCTGAACTCAGGCTCCCGAGCTGGAGCATGGGAGGGAGCAGGAGGCACTGACAAGCCCATAACCCCCCTACACCTGACCATCTAAGGTCGGCTGGGCTGCTTGGGCCGGCTCTGCCTGGCTGCCCAGCCCAAGATCTAGTGCCCAAGATAAGTGTGAGCTTGTCCTCCTCTGGTGGGGTAGTTGGAGCCAGCTAAGAGGAAGGACAGTGCTGAAATCAGAGAGAGGCCGGCTGCGGCCTTTTCCTGCCCTTGCAGACAGCAGCCACCTCCCAAAGCATGTGTACGCCTGAGGCAATGCTGCCAACTGCCAGGACTGGCCTGGTAGCCAGAGCAGCCCAGCTGCAGCCAGCCCTTCCCAGGGCTGCTTTGGACAGAGGAGGGAGGGGACAGCTTCTTAAAGCAGACACTGACTCAAGAGAAGTCAAACCCACAGGGATAGTAACAGGCCTGGAGACCCTGGGAAGAGGAGTGTCAGGGTTGAGCTGCAGCCTGAGCTGAGATCAGCCAACAGGCTGAGATTTCCCAGCCGCGAGGCAAGCCAGTGGTCTATCCTCAGCCTCTGCCTTCGGAGAATGGGGATCATTCTCTTCTAAGTGCCCCTCGGCAGAGTGCAGCCTCAGGGAAGTGCTGCGATGACTAAGAAGGAGTGCAGCTTTAATCTGGGAGAAAATGGAGCTTGCAAAAAAGCAAAGGAGTAACAGTCAGCATGAGGAAGAGAATGAAGACAAAGAACCCATTCTTCGCTTCATTCATTGACAGAACAACTCAGAGTTAATACCACCAATTAGGAGGCAGGCTCTGGAAGCCCACACCATGAATGCAAAGTTGAATGGAGCAGGAGGCCTTGGAGATGAGTAGGGCAGGCGTTCCCATGTGGCAGAACTTGGCAGTGCTGCACCAGGGTCTGGTAGAGGCTGAGGAGGCTTACAGAGGGGAGGACACTGCTCACAGAGGGGATTGGAGGTCAAGTGAGGCAGAGACACAGAGCAGAGGGCTGGATGCTAAGGAAGGAAGGGTGAATCATGATGTGTGGAATGGGGCGGGGGAGAAGCCATGGCAAGCTTCTGAGTGGGGTGTGGGTACGCTCTGGGTGGAACATGCACGGGGAAGAGTGTTAAAGAAACTGATCCGGGAATGCAAATGAGAAACAATGGTGTGTGAGGGGAGGGTGAATGAGTCCGGTCCAGGGAGGAGAAGAGAACAGCAGCGGTCCTTGGTGATGGAGCAGCTGTGAGGGGAGTGAGCAGCAGTCCCCACCTAGATCATAAGAACCAGAAGGAGAAAGTCATGGAGAAATGCAACTGGCTGGAGGATATTATGTCCAGGTTCAATTCCCAAGGTCAGCAACAAGGGTAGGGCTTGGGGCCTGGAAGAGAGGAACCTCATGGGGAAACAGGTAGAGACATGTAACCTGACCTGAGGGACAGGAGGGAGCGGCCTTGCAAAGGGGCTTGGGGGGCAGGGGCTGCACCTGTCAGGTGCTTGGGTGAGGTAGGTCTGGAAGGGGTTGGCATGAGCCAGCAGGCAAGCAATGGGGACTCAGCTGAGAAGCGCAGTGGAGAGAGGAGGGAGGTGTGCTCTCCTTTGTGGTGGGAGAGTTCACTGTGGAGCATGCACTGCAGGGGATAAGAGGGTGGCTCATGCAGGGCTGGGGACTGGCCTGGAACAGAGGGAGAAGCATACAGGATTTGAAGGACATGGAAAAGGGGCATGGAGGAAGATACCAAGGGGTTTGAGAGAGAATAGGGGACAAGGAAGACCAAGACATCCTCTGCCAAGTCGTGGGAAACTTGAGAGAGGAGCAAATTTCAAAGAATGTTGAGAGTTCCTTGTGGGCCAGTTGGAGATGCTTGTGAGACATTCAAATGGGCCAGGTGGTCACCAGTGCCCTTTGATGATGCCCACGATGCCTGGGTCAGCCCCAGAGTAAGCTCTGCATGTGGAAAGTCTAATGGAAGGTGGCCAGGACACATGGGAAGCCAGCAGGGCAGAGGGCCAGGGACAGGTGCTGTGGCCGCCACTCTGGATGCCTGCATCTCAAATCAGAATGCTGCTTCTGATCCAACTTCCTGCTGATGTGCGATCTGGAGCAGCAGATGATGGCTCAAGGGATTGGGACCCTGCCCCCCAAATATGGGAGGCGTGGATGGAGTTCTGGGCTCATATCTTCTGCCTGGCCCTGCTCTGGCTGGTGCCTGAATTTGAGGAGTGAATCAGAGAGTCCCACCGCCCAGTCTTTCTCTTTCTCTCTGTCACTCTGCCTTTTAATTACATAGATCTCAAAAAAATAAAAAACAAAGCCAAACCTATAGGAGAATAGCAAGCCAACAAAAGTAGCACATGCTCAGTGTACAAAGGGAAAGAGAAGCATCCCAGCTACAAAGCTGAAATCCTGTCCAGTCTGGCGAGCCTCCCTGAGAATGTGTGCTGTCCGTAACGACAGCCGCAGACACTCCCTGTGCTCCACACGAGGCCGGTTCCCACTGCAACGTCTAAAACACGCTCCAGATGTGCTCTGTGCTGGAAAACTGGTATGGGGGAGACCCCACTCGTTCTTATACCATTTACATGCTAAAACGGCATTTCAGTGTTGGCTTAAGTAAAAGCACTGCTGAAACTAATCTTACCTATTTTTTTCCTTATTTTATTCATCTTTTTCATTTTTACTTGAATTTTTTTGGATTTTTTTGAGGATGTTTACATAGTTGATTAGGTGGGATCGGAGGAAAGTGGGCAGGACCATTGTTTGCACATTTTTTTTCCCTTCTTCCTGTATCTGGGGGAGGGAAGATACAATGGGGGAGGCTGTACCTAGCCTCCTCAGTACCCAGTCACATCCCAGGGTCCCCACTGGTCTGAGAGTTCTGCTCAAGCGGTTTCGAAAGCCTGAGATGCTGTTGATATCGCTGCTCCAAGGATGAGGAAATATTTCCAAGGTCAATTAGCTGACATAGTCCACTTCAGAGTCTCTGTTCACCCAAAAGTTCGCTGTCGGGTTTCACTGGGGTAGTTGGTCAATTTGTTCTCCCCTCTTTCCTCTGTAAACCAGTGGGTGCTGTGGCCCAGCCCAACCCTGCCTACTACAAGTCAGCCCACACGTACACCAGGAAAAGCTGAAGCCCAGGCAGAGCAGCCCCCAGTAACCCCCACTGGACCAGCCCCCAGCTCTGGTTCCTGTGCCTGCCAGTGTGCAGTGGACTGGTCTGGTCTGTCCCACATCCTGTTCAGCTTTCGTACACATCATTGGCCATTGAAGCTGACTCTACCCTCTAGCCCACACTCATGCCAGTAGGTGCCACCACCTGTCCAATCAGGCTCACTCCAAGCCCTGGTTCTCATGCTTACCAGTGGGAATTGCAGCCCATCAGCAAGTGGACTTGCTGATGCCCAGTCGCCCCAGTGGACCCACTCCCTGCCCAGTCACCCCAGTGGACCTACTCCCTGCCCTGGATCTTGCACACTTCAAGAGGTTCTGTAGTCTAGCTTAACAGGACTTGCTCCCAGTTTTAGCACTTTTCAGCTGCTGCTGCTGCAAAGCCTGATCCGCCTGCCCTTGCTTTGGTTCATCCTTGCACTAGTGGATACCCATCCTGGCTCTCTCCCAACCCAGTTCACATGTAGGCCAATATATATTGTAGCCCTGCCCAGCCTGATCTGCTCCCAGTCCCAGCTCTCACACTCACCAGCAGGAGCAATGGCTCAGCAGGAGAGTCCCCACTACTCCTCTGCCAGGTTTGCACACCTCCTCCCATCTTGCATGTGCTGGTGGGTACTGCAGCCCAGTCTGATATGGCCCATCTCACCTCAGTATTTGCCAGGAAGTGCTGTAGCCTGGCCTGGCCTGGCCTTGTCTGCTCCATTCCAGCTTGTGCTGGTGGGTGCTACTGCCCAGCCTGGCACAGTCTGCCCTCAGTCCTGGCCCTAATGTGAACTGGCTGGTGATGTGGTTAGACCAAGCCTGCCCTGCACCCCATCTTGGTTCTCAGATCTGCCAGTGGTTTTTTTTTTTTTAATAGAGTTATAGTATTTTATTGTTATTTATCCATTTTCTCTTTGTTTTTCTAATGTTTATTTTATTTTTGATAATGTTTACATAGTTGATCAAGGTGCTGCCAGTGGGTGTTATGAATTGGCACAGCCTGACCCACCTCCAGACCTGAGCCACAAGTAGGCCAGTAGCTACTATAACCCGGTCTAGTGTGGGTTGCTCTTTGCCTTGGTTTTTGTGCTCACCTGGAGGGACTATGCCCTGACAAAGGAGTTCCCCTAGTTCCTAATTGGGCCTCCTCACAGTGGCAGAAATCATGCCCCTGGGTAGGTCCTTGACCCAGGCTGCTTTAGTCCACCTCTTGTCCTGACAGGAACAGTAGCCTTGCCCATCTTGCCCACACCCAATCCAGTTTTACTGTTGGGTGTTGTAGCCCAGCCACACCTAGTCCACACCCAGACACAGCCCTCATGTGGCCCAGTGCAAGCCGAAACATAGCCCAGTCTGTCCTACACCCACCTTGCTTCTCTATACGCACTTTGCTTCT